GCCAGCACAGGGACTCCCATCCACGGGATCCACAGCCCCTGGCTCCCTCAGGGAGCATCACGAGGGCCAGAGGCAGCAGGACCAGGACAGGCCATGGGAGAGCACACACCGCTTCGTCAGTCTCCAGAGTCGTATTCTTCATCGAAGCAGGTGAGGATCTCTTTTTCCAAGCATAGTACTTGGCCACAACCACATTGGGGTTTCCCTGGGCAGGGTCAAACCACATCTGGATGCAGCGTCCGCTGCCCCGGTGCTCTGTGGTGTATTTGTAGGAGTTGGACCAGATTTTCTCACACAGGTCTTTTGGTCGGGGGAAGACATTGCTGAAGGGTCTGCACATGGAGCCCCAAGGACAGCGGTTTGTTCCTGAGGACAGACAGCACCAGAAAACAACGTGAGCTAGCACACTCCACTCATGTCCTTTCACCTGGGAGGAGCAGGCCACCTGCCCACACCCCATCACCGCATCTTAGCTGATAGATGGTGGCTTGGCCACCTTCTAGTTGGCAACCCCACAGGCAGGCGAGAGCGGTTAGGGGTCTTGGCTCCAGCCACTGGGCAGCCAGCAGTGACACTGCCAGGGCTTTGCCTGCAGCGGTGAGGAGACACTCGCTCCACACAGCCCACCAACCTGTTGCCCAGTTCCAGCCCTTATGCCAGTTCTCTTTGCACGTGAGATAGTCCTTGCAATCCTCCCACCACTCCTCACAGTCCTCTTTGCAGAGTGGCACATGAAGAATCCTCTCCCGACGCCAGCTGCTGTCAACCTGCAAGGGAACAGGACCATGCACACTGGTGGTGGCCCTTCAAAGCTAAGGGGCAGGATCTGCCACATCCCAAATTTCCCCCCCCAGCCCCTTCCATTGAGCTCCAGAGCTGATCTCAGAAGTTTCAGCCCCAGCAGAGACATGTCTTGACAAAAAGCAATCCTTCCATCAGCCTGCCTGACTACCTAAGCAGAGGCTAGCAAAGCCATTTTAATTTTTCCTCCCAGTAGGAACGTTTGCAGTGTCCCAGGAAAGCACACTGCCATATGTGCCAGGGGTACGCTGTAAGGGGGACCAGCATATAACATATCACGTGGCCAGCACAAGTCCTGTTGTCTTAATCACAGCATATCTGATCCTACCTGGTCAATCCAGGGCCCAAGGTTGGGTGAGCACTCATACAAGCACGTGTCCTGGATGAAGTGGCGCTTGCACTTGGGTGGCATCACCCCACAATGGTTCCAGTTGAAGTTGTACAGGTTGGATTGGTCCTTGTGGGCTTCTGAACTGGTATTGGCTGTGCAGCAGGCATTGTCCTTCCAGGGAGCACACTGCAGCAAAGCAAGAGACAGTCTGGTCAGGGAGGGCAGGCAGCATCTCAAGGGAGTCAGAGGATGCTGCAGGTGCCAGGTTCCCACACAGCCTACAACGAGAAGTGTTCAGCAGCAAGAACATCTACTCCAGCAAACCCTTGGGCTCTTTGGGCTGAAGAGCTCATGGCTGCAGCAATGCTGAGTTGGAAGAGCAGGAGGCCACATCCTCACCAGGAATCAGCGCCAGCCTGAGGAAGAGAAAAACTCCCTCCTCTTGCACCCTGGCTTGCTCTTAGCCCCATCTCCACCAAGGACCGGGGGGCAGAGTTCTTCAATTAGCAAGAAGTCTTTAATAAAGAGGGAACAAAGAAGAGTATCTTTCCTTGCCATCCTGTACCTTGTTCTGATCTGGGGTACCTAAGCTTTGGGAAGGGGACGACTCCGGGTTAAAGAGGGGTGGCACTGACCAGACAAATCCTCACACCGCTGCATCCACCCTAGCCATCTGCTAGAAGACGACAGCAAATAGGCCTCATACTGAGCACAGGCTTTCTTCCCCAGGCAAATGGTCGCTAGGCCCTGAGCACAAACCAGCCAGTATCACCTGGGGCGGCAGGTACAGGGGACACCAACAATCCCACCTAACCCACCAGCAGAGTCATACCTGGTCATGCAGCTTTCCCTCTGGGCCAGGCTTGGTTTTGTGGTGCTTGGCATCCATACAGATGTTCAGCAACGGGTCCTTCACAGGCATCACCACCCAGGCAGCCAACAGCACAAGCAGCGCCTGCCCCACTCCCATCCCCATGGCCAGCCCAGTCAGATCAGGGACCTGGGGGGTGGTAGAGCTGTACAGAAAGGGGCACAAACAGCAGTAAGCAAGGTGTTGTGGTGGCCAGGCTCTCCTGAGGACCCATCAACAGACCATCAGCGGATCACAGCACCAAGGAGACACGTGTAGCTCCCCCAGGCAAGGCTGCAAGGTCAGCTACAGGTTATCCTCTGGACAGAGACATATGGCCCTTTTAGTGCTTGGGCTGTTCAACAGTTAACCTCAAACATCCCTGATCCAAACTGCATGAGACCCATTCACGTGGGGTCCCGTTGCACTAAGCCACCCCACTGTCTCACGACAGAGCTTTCAGCTCCACCTTGTGCAACTAGACATTGTTACTTGAGGGGTCTCTTTAGCCAGTGGTCCAGAGAGGGCAGTTAACACACTAGCATGTAGACATCTTGCATGGACCACAAGCTGCAGGAGGCCCACCTTGTTCTCAGGAGCATGTTAAGAGAAGAAGACATTTTCTTTGGTTTATCTGCATCTGGGCCTTTGGACACCCACACCTCAGGTCTCCAAAGGAGACCTGACTTGAGCAATAAACAATACTTTGCATAATCATGGTTTAGTCTCCTCTGCCCACCTAGAGGCTGAATGGACTTTTATAGTAATTTCCTAAAAGACCCAACCAAACACGTCAATACCCCCCCCCCCCCAAAAAAAAATATAAACTCCAAACACACACATGCACCACAGTGCTCCCTCACATTCCTTGTCCACACAGCATAAGGGTCTAAGCCAGTCACCCTTTAAGTAGCATTTTGTAAAACACAGAAGCAAGACAAACCATTTACAGCATTAAAATAGCATAAAACAACAGAGAAGACAGCAATTACAGAACTAAGGGAGCAGACACACAAAACTGAGGACTATGAAGTAGCTAACTTGCATCATAACCACATATAACCAACAAAAAAACCACAGGATACCAACCTTACCAGCCCAGGTAGCGTCTAAACCCTCTGCTACACCTCAAAACCACTCAACACAACAACTTCCTGTGGTCAGCTTTAATAGGAAAGCCTTCTAACACAGGTGCTGGCACTTGAAAGTACCTTCTTAATATGGTTAACGAGGATTAACTTCTGCCAGCGTTTGTTACCTTCGGAGCAGTTGTTTTGGTGACAACCAGCTTGCCCAGCCTCTTTCGCACACAACACCCTCTTGGCTGGGAAACAATCTGGTGTTTTTTTACAAAAGGCAGGTCTCTTATCAGCCTTGGTCATTCATAACAAACCCTTTTTCCTCTCCTTGTCTTAGAGGAAAACCAGGCCGTTTTGATTTGCACTATTGCATGAGACAGATGCAGGATTCTGCCATGCATCAAGAATAAATACAAAAGGGGTAATGCTCATAGCAAAAAAAAAAAAAAAGACAGGTAGGAATAAGTGCTATTGGCTCTGAAGGAAGAATAATAACTCCCAACACAAAAAATAAAATGCTAGCTGATGAGGGGAAGCAGTGCACCTTACTGCCCAAACCTGACAACAACAACTGAAGTTAAAGCTAGGGGCTGCTCGCCAGACCCCTTGGAAAGCCCTCGCCCTCAGCAAAGGGGCAGAGCCTTCTCCCTGGAACAGCAAGCGTTTGGGGGCTGTTTTGCTCTTTTCTTCAGTCACACCACCGACGTTTTGGTGACGAACCCACTTGCCTAAGGAGCTCATCTTCCTACATTCAATGCATGAACGCTTGAGGCTCTAGGAGACCCTGCTTTAATGATTTCCACAGTCTAACGACACGCTGCATGAGTAATGACCTGCGTGTCCGTTCTGAACCAGACGCGTGCTGTTCTCATTCCTCCTCCTTCTCGCTCTCGTATTGGAAGTGACAAGGAGCAGATCTTCCCCCACTCATCTTTGAGCCTTTGCCACCTCTGTCATATCTCCCTCCGTCGCCTCCTTCCAACCGAAGCCAGGGTCTGCTCGCTCGTTTCCCGTGACAAGTGTTTTGCTCCCCGAGGTGCCGGGACTGCAGCAGTATTTCGGATGCACAGCGCTGTCCTGGCCTTGTTTGCTGGTCCTTGCTGAGGAATTTCTAATATCTGGTTTGGTTTTGGAGCTGCTGATCACTGAACTGTGTTGTCGTAACACTATCATAACTGTGACAGCTTGTTCCTGAGAGATAATTGTTAGCCACCAGCCTGTCATTTTCTATCTGAAGTGTTGTGTTTTTCCCCCAAGTGCATCACTGTGTGTTTATCTCAACTGTGAATTTTTTATCTGTTGTTTTATTGTTCAGTGACTCAGGCTTACCAGGGTCTTCTGCAGATTTTCGCAGCTGGTCCTCCTGTTCCTGGAGTGATTTAATATCACCAGAAGCTTGGTTGTCTTGCTGTTTTCGCCTCCCTTCCCCAGAAAAAATTCGTTGAAAAGTGGAAGTCCTAGTACAGCTTCCTGTAGAGGTTCATTGTGAAGGATAGCCACGAACCTTTATTTTATGATTCAATTATTCACTGGTGTGTGGGAATTTACTCTCATTTCATGGCTGCTTATTTGATGACCTTCGGTGGGGACCTTGCTCAGAGCCCTTGGCAGTCCAGGTAGACCCTATCACCTGGATCTGCCCCAGCCAGAATCCTTTCCAGCCCCTGGAGGACTTGCAATGTATTAGGGGGTCTTGTCTGAGCACTAGAAGAGCCATACTGACCCTGTCCCCATAGGGGGTACTTACACATCTGACTATTGATTCAGTCCTTTATTAAATTTTCGGCAACCTTTTCCCACACAGGTACCATGTTCATGGCTGTGCAGATCCCTCAGTCTCTCCAGGCAGCCTTTTACCATGTCCCACATGAATGTGTAGACCTTGTCCTTGCAGGAGGTACTTGTACACGTGACAGTGCAGAAAATGGGGAAACTCTCTCCTCGCGTTGTAGTCCTGCCCGTATCTTCGTAGTTAATGGGATGGGTGGGCGGCTGGGTGCACCCACATTTGCTCCATCCAGCTGATTTGCCTTGTGCAACCTATCTCCAGGGTCTGGGATCGAGTTGTTTTGTATGCTCCTTCCCTGGGGTCAGATTTGGGCGAGCAGCCGCTGGGTAACAGTTTTAGGGTGTGCTGAGTGCCTCTGGGCACCCCAGGGTCTGCGTTAGCCAGGAGCTCAATGCACTTGCCTACGCGGTGTTCCTTAGTGCCACTGGAGATCACAGGTCTCATCGGAGATGGTGTCCCACGTGGCTTCCCGCTGCCACTGCTACAAAAGGCCATGTGAGTTGTTGTGATCAGAATCTCATATATGGGCAAAAAGCAAACGCACTTTATGAATAAAGCCAAGAATTGTTAGCGTAACTGAAAACAGTCTAATACAAGAATCATCATTAGTCCAGATAGAGTTATTACAGAAAAAAAGAAAGAAATTAATATTTCTCTACAGAAATGCTACTACTACTGCTGCTGCTGATGATGATAATGTTATATACAAACTTCCCAGTTTCTGCCTCTTCCCTGGGTCGTGCCCACCCTTTCACTGCTCCTCTGGGTCCTAAGGTTGGTGACTTCAGTTCAGTGGTGGTGGTGGATGTTACATCGTCATCAAAATCTGGAGTCCTTCACAGGAGGAGTACAATATTGATGTTCATGGCTTCTTCTTCCTCCCTCTAGAGTCCACTTTGTGTCTCTCTTATGTTTGATAACGTGCTTTTACACCTTGCTTTCTCTTCATTAGTCTGCAAGTCCATGATACCTGCAAATTTCCTAAATATGGTGCATTTTATGCATGTTAGATACTTGTTCTTTGCTCTCTTTGTCACCCCAAAACCATTTTTGTTCAGCTCTGAGCCTGCATTTCGTTAACTGACCTTTCCCAAGTTGTTTATAGCCATGAGGTCTCCAGTGCCAGCCTGTGCCCTGTCTCTTATCACCTCATGCCTGCACTCCTCTGTGCCGCATCCTCTGTCCCCACTTCTCAAGGCCCCTGGCATCCTGCCACACCAGTATTTCTCAGCACTACACCATTATGTTGAAGTCAGAAATATTTCATTCAGCACAGAATAGCTATTTTTTACTACCATCTGCTTAAAAATGAAACTCTGGTTGCACCATACAACAGTAAGCAAAAAAGACATAGCCATAGTCAGGATAAATTGCCATTATTGCTAAATCTGGTGAAAACAAAGCTCCAGGCAGGTCATAGAATCATAGAACTGTCTAGGTTGGAAGGGACCTTAAAGATCATCGAGTCCAACCGTTAATCCAACACTGCCAAAACCGTCACTAAACCATGTCCCTCAGCACCACATCTACCGGTCTTTTAAATACTTCCAGGGATGATGACACCACTGCCCTGGGCAGCCTGTGTCAGTGCCTGATGACCCTTTTGGTGAAGAAATTTTTCATAATATCCATCCTAAATCTCCCCTGGCGCAACTTGTGGCCATTTCCTCTTGTCCTAGTGTCAGGAGAAGTTCAAAATGAGCAAACTTGGCACGCCTCAGTCCTGAGTCCTTGCAAACTCCACACAAAGCCTGTGGCCAGCAGTGGCCATGCCGTGGTAATGGGCTACAGGGTCAGTGTATAGGACCCGTGTCACAGCTGCCCGGCCAGGTGGATGCCTTGATGATCTTCAAGGTCCTTTCCAACCTAAACCATTCTATGATTCTATGATTCTATGCTGAGGACATCTCGAATGGGACCCAGCATCAAGCGGGGACAACCTGGATCTCCACCAGCTGCTGAGGTCTGGGGTGCCCCGTGCAGATGGAAACCCTTGCAGAGAGACACCCACCACCAGCACCAGGAGATGCCTCCACTGTGGCACCCATATTTAATCACATCACACTGGAGCTGCAGCTCACTCCTAGAGTCCTTCAGAAGTGAATCAGCATTTGACTACAAGTAGAGCAGAGTTAACGGCAGGGTCCCTCAGAGAACATCTGATGTTTTCCTCCCAAAAAATTGTTAAAATGCACTTTAAAAGTGAGTGTAAGCAGGGGATTTCTTTATGCACATAGAATGAAAGGGGAAAAAGGTGA